AATCCCTAGTACTGCAGAGCAAACAAAAATATGTATAGATTTCAGGCTGGGGATATGTATGGCTCAGTGGTAGAGGGCTTGCCTAGCATATACAAGGTCTTAGATTTAATCCCCGGCACTGCAAAAACAAAAAAGAAAATGACATGGTGGATGAATTTATTAAATGTCACTTCAGGCCAGAGCTGGATTCACATGCTTCTAATCCCAGCAATTTTGGAAGCTGAGGCAGTAAGATCACCAGGTCTTAGGCCAGCCCCAGCAACTTGGTGAGACCCTGTCTCAAAACAAAACAAACAAACAAACAAAAAAACCAGTCTGGTAGAGTACTCCCCCCAAGATTCAATCCCCAGCCCCCATTCCCCCAAACCTCCTGTTTAACATATCATGATAATTTCTAGAAATCCCCAGAGAGATTATGATGCCTAGAGATAGTAACAAGGGTGGTGTTTGGTTCTCTTATATACCCTTACAGGCTATTTATTGTTTTTTTTGTTCTCTGCCTTGGTGACTATGCTTAGGTTTCCAGAGGTACTATAGTCCAGTAGAGGGATTTTATCTAGTACATTTGTCTTTATTTCTGGACAGTGTCTGCTTGGACTCAGAATCCTCACAGTGAAAGTAACTAGAAATCATGTGGCTTACTGGGTACAGTGGCACACACCTGATATCCCAGTTATTTGGGAGGCTTAGGCAGGAAGAATTACATTGGGCGTAATTTAGTAAGACCCTGTCTCAAAAAAGTGTCCCTATGCCTGTGTATTCCTGTGGGGGAGGGGCGTTGCTCAGTGGGAGAGCGACCCTGGGTTCACTGCCAAGTACTTAAAAAAAAAAAAATCAAATGATCCAACTACTCACAGAAAGCATGCTCACCCTGGGCAGTGATAGATATCAAGGTGAATTTGGACATTACTTTTTGGTGATAGCATTTAAAAATAAATTACTGTCTTTCACTGGTTTTGTTTTAGGGAGCAATTCTTGGCAGGGTTGCCTGTTATGGGTTACTTTATCATACTCAGTCTTATACAGAGATGGGTTGCCCGGAAAGGATTCCACTGTGAGCACTATTTATTTTTTTGAGTGTACTAGTAGTATCACTGAGACAAAAGGCAAGTAAGAAAATAAAACCCAGAGATATCTACCAAAATGCCATGTAAAATAATGCCTGGTATTTGACCCTAACCAATTAGGATTTTATATGCTAATATTTCTCTTGGTTTCTGCAGTATTAGGTGATACAGTGGCATCTTAAATTCCTTCAGTGATACTGTTTATGCAACTCCATAATGCATTTCATTTCTGTGGAGTTTCTCAGTCCTTATGTTGAACCAGATTGATATTGTAGCTTCCCACATATTGTCCTTTGTGAGAATGTGCTCGAAAAGGTAATTGCTTTGTTTTCTGGCTGCGCTACCTCAGTTCCTTTAAATCCTGTGTGGCACAATATGTAGCTCTCTTTCCCTGTTGGGTTGCCTTACTCTTTTTTAAGTTATTTGTTCATATGTACCTCTTAGCTGCATTGTTAGAAATTATAGAGTTTGATAGGGCAGAGGAGTGATGTGGAAAGAAAGATATGGCATAGTGTCTTCCAGTGTAGGCACTATGCCAGTTACTTCACATATATTTCCTGCCCCCCCTTTTTTTGATGTTCTTAAAAAATGGAGAGTGAGCTGGGTACAATGGCACATGCCTGTAATCCCAGTGACTCTGGAGGCTGAGTGAGGCATGAGATATCAAATTCAAGGCCAGCCTCAGCAATTTAGCAAGATCCTGTGTCAAAAAAATAAAAAGGGCCAGGGAAATGTTTCAGTAGAATTTAAAACGGGAAAGAGTAAGAATCAAATGTATTTTATTTTAATTTTTGGTTCTAGCGGGGCACTTTACTAGTGAACCACATCCCTATCCCTTTTTATTTTGAGAAGTGTTTTAATTAAATTAAGTTTCTGATGCTGGCATTGAACTGGCCATCCTCTTACCTCAGCCTCCTGAGTCACTGTGATTAAAGGTGTGTACAACTGCAGGGTCTCACTAAGTTGCCCAGGCTTAAGTTGTACACACCTTTAATCACAGTGTACAACTGCACCCATCTTGTTTTAGATTCCTAAATGATTTGTTACTGTTTTAAGATAATTTGGCTTACAGGCTATACTAAGTTTTTAGCCAAAGTGTTAATAGGCCCTGCTGCACTGTGCTAGGCCTCCTGATTTAGAGATCAGTTCTTATCCATGGTGTTATAAAAGTGGTAAGGAGAAGTGTTGGAATACCTTGAAACGACTGGTTGAGAAAATAAAGGTCACCAGCGATCAGAATGAGTATTGGAAGATGTACTTTGACATAATCAACAGCATCATAAGCCCAAGTGCAACAAACAATTCATGAATGAGAGCATGGCAAAATAGGATTTAAGAACAAAACAGAACACACCTGTAATTCCAGCTACTGAGACTGAGACAGCATGGTCACAAGCTTGGGCAACTTAGTGAGACCCTCTCTTGAATTGAAAAGGACTGAGGATGTGTAGCTCAGTGGTAGAGTGCTTGCCTACCATGGGCTTGCCTAGCAAGGCTCTGGGCTCAATCCCTAGCACCTAATATCTACTGCTGTGCCTGAGACTTAAGAGCCATCTTCTCTTCCCAGCTTGAGGTCTCTGGGTAGAACTTTCTTTTTTTTTAAATACATACATGACAATAGTGGAATGCATTACAATCATAATTATCCATTCACAACACCATTTTTCACATATCTGTATATAAAGTATGTCCTCCAAATTATACTATTATACATGAGCTTTTTATTATTATTGTTATTTGCATTATAGTTCTTAATACACCTTTATACCACTGGGTAGAACATTTATCAAGCCTTAAAATTATATCAGTATCTCTGACATTTATTTATTTAATACCTTCATTTTATTTATTTTTATGAAGTTCTGAGGCTTGAACCCAGCACCTCACACATGCTAGGCAAGCACTCTACTGATGGGCCCCAGCCCCTGTATCAAACACACCCCAAAGACATACCAAAGTCACAGACCCCTTTGTCTTATGTGTGAAGTGTGGGAGTAAATGGTTTTGCACTGAGCTGTTTTCCAAGGCAGTGCTTCAAATGAATAACTTGTTACTTTGAAGTATGACTATCTTGTAGTGCTTGTAATTGGTTGTTGACTTTCATTTCTTAAGTCTTTTTGTCCATTCATGAAGTCAGAAATTACCTATCGGTACAAGTTTGGTAGAAACATTCCGCCAAAACTTGGGTCTCATTTTGTTAATAGGGTCTCACTAAGTTGCTTAGGGTCTCAGCCTCCCAAGTGTGTCTAATTTTATTATATTCTTTTCATAAACAAAATAAATAGGGTTGTGTAGTGCTCAGACAGCTGGATAGCTTGTGGAAAGTAGTTTTGCAGTTGAGCAAAAGTCCAAACCTGTGTTAGATAAAGTTAAAATCTAATAGCAGTTGAAATTAGGCTAATTATACCTGTAATTTGACTTCATTCTTATATTTTGTTATGGACTGTAATCCTAGAATACTAAGGGTCTTGATAATTATAACTGTTTGCATCAAGATTTTTTTTTTCTTTTCTTTTTATGTATCTGGGACTGTCATATAGAAGGTTTGTAACCTCTGAAAAGAACTGTTCATTTTTAAACTTGGAGTAACCTTTTGTGGTGGTGGTGGTGGTGGTGGGGATCTAACCCAGAGCCTTGCTCATGCTGAGCACATGCTCTTAGGCATGTCTACCCAGCCCAACCCCCCACCCCACCCCCGCTGCCTTCTGGAAGGCATCTTAGATAAATGTGAATCTACTTTCTATAAATATTCAGTTCACTAGGTGCATTGTGCTTTAACATCTCCACCTTTTTGCCTACCATTTTCTGATAAATGTATGACTCATCATAGCACTGTCCTACAAGGTCAGTCTACAAGTTTTCTTACTTTCTACCAGCCATGTGTAGATGCATGTTATGGAATTTCTGGCCTTCCAGAACTCAAATCTTTTTTTTTTTTTAAGAGAGAGAGAGAATTTAATATTTTTTTTTTTAGTTCTCGGTGGACACAACATCTTTGTTGGTATGTGGTGCTGAGGCTCGAACTCGGGCCGCATGCATGTCTGGCTCTGCTTGAGCCAGATCCCCAGCCCCAGAACTCAAATCTTTATAACCCTGCTTAGTAGAAAGAGATCCAGAAAGGACTGAAGAATGAAAAACTGAACCCCAGATAGGAGGCAATGATGGGAAGTTGGAGGTTCACTTTTTGGATCAAGGTTGTCAAAAAAAAAGAAAGACTGTTATTTCCCTAGCCCATCCAGGACTTTAGAGAAGAGATTGCTGGGTCCCACGCCCAGTGCTGATTGAGTAGGCCCTAGGTAGAGTCTGCATTTCTAACAGATTCTCAGGTAATATTCCTGCTGCTGGTCTAGATTCACTTATATTCTATGTGTGGTTTTTGGAAGCTGCTTGTTACCTCCATCTGTAATTCTTTTTAATTTATTTTTAGTTGTGGATGGACACAATACCTTTATTTTATGTATTATTTTTTTTTAATGTGGTGCTGAGGCTCAAACCCAGTGCTTCACACATGCTAGGCAAGCTCTCTACTACTGAGCCACAACCCCAGCCCCTCCACCTGTAATTCTTAAAGACAATTGGCAGGGTGGTTTCCCTTTTCAGTCTATTTGGTTTCTTTGATTTGTTTTACAGATAAAGCTGCTCCTAGGGCTAAAGTTAGTGGAAAATAAGAGGCTACTTCCCTAGGACTGTAAAATGAGGACAGTAGTCAGACTTGACCTGCAGTGATAAGATGAATGTTTAAAATCTAAGTTGTTGCCTAGCTCTATGGGCAGCCTATGGTAGTACTCAAATGGTTCATTCTGGCACATGATCTAGGTATACTCTATTAATTTCGCACTATTGTGTATTTACTATAAGAATATATTAGTAGTGAATCTTTGAGGACTGGCTTTAGTCTTTTTTAATCTAGTTTTCTGGTCCTTTGTCTCACAGGTATTTTATGCATGGGGTTTGTAAGGAAGGAGATAACTGTCGCTACTCGCATGACCTCTCTGACAGTCCGTATGGTGTAGTGTGCAAGTATTTTCAACGTGGGTACTGTATTTATGGAGACCGCTGCAGGTAAGAATCTGTTCATCAATTAATTTTTTATTTTGTCTTTATACCAGGAGTTAAACCTAGGGACACTTTATCATCAAGTGCATCCCCAGCCTTTGAGATAAGGTCTTACCAAGTTGTTTGGAGCCTCCTAAATTGCTGAGGCTGGCCTCACTTGGCAATTCTTCTGCTTCAGCCTCCTGAGTTGCTTTCTTGAGCCAGGGCTCCCAGCTAAGTTCATGTCATTCAGGGATGGGTTGGGAGAAAATAATGAAAGTAATTACATAATATTTTTTATACCTTTATTTTTGATTTATTTTTCTGCGATGCTGAGGCTTGACCCCAGTGCCACACATACTGCTAGGTAAGCACCATACCATTGAGCTACAGCTACAGCTGTAGATATATAATTTTTTTTTTTTTTGATGCTGGCTGGGGATCAAACCCAGGGCCTTGTGCATGTAAAGCAAACACTCTACCAACTGAGCTATATCATCAGCCCTAGATGTATAATTTTATTCCACTTATTTTTTTAGTTGTTGAGGGACCTTTATTTATTTATATGTGGTGCTGAGAATCGAACCCAGTGCCTTGCACATGCTTGGCAAGCACTCTACTATTGAGTACAACCCTAGCTCTAGATACATAATTTTAATAGCTTCATTATATAATGTATTTAAAACAGTGCTTTAGGGCTAGGTTATACTTTAGTAGAAAGAGTACTTGGCCTGCTATGCAAGGGGCCCTAGGTGTAATTCCCAGCATTAGAAATAAATAAATAAAACTCCCTAGAAATGTTAGTGTATGGAAAGATATCCTAGAAGGAATGTATTACTTTTTTTTTTTCATTGTTGGGAATTGAACCCAGAACTGTGTATGCTAGGAAAGCATATGTGTTTGTATATGGCATTTGCTTTTCAAAACAAAGAATGAGGCACATGTTTGACTAAATTAGGTGGGATTCAGTCATTCTCTGCTATTATGAATTATGGAGAGTGGATTCTTACACCTCTGGAATGGTGCATTAGACTCCTCACTCCTACCCCTGTCCTGGGCACAAAACCTGGAGCCTCATACTTCATGCCTTCTACCATGCAGCTAAACCTCTAGCTGTTGGGTTACTAGTTAGAGGGCTTGTCATTTTGTCTTACTTCCTGAATCCTGTAAACTTGGGTGCAGTCACAACTTAGGAAACACTTTCAGAAATGTCTCTAATACCTTTCTTAGAATGTTAGAAAACCAAGAGGTATTAGTTATTAAGTAATCTCTACCGTTATTCATTGAGTTCCTTACATTGGAATTCAGTGGTGGGTTCTGATTAGAAACTAGGCACAGTTTTTTGTTGTTGTTATTTTAAATCTTCACTGTTAAGAAAATGTTTAGGTGTTTAGTTATCCAATGATGTTAAGCAAATTGCCCCAAAATGTAGCAGAGTAAATCAAAAAACATTTATTATCCCACAGTTTTCTGGAAGTCTGAAATCTGTGAGTGGCTTGGCTGGGTAGTTCTAGCGTAGACTTTGAGGAGATGGCAATGAAGATTTGACCATTGTGACAGTCATCTGAAGGCCTGATGGGAGCTGGAGAACAACTTGTAAAGTGGCTCACTTTCATGGCTGGTGGCCAGGGGGCCTTCATAGGGCTGCTTTAGTATGTTTACAGCTTAGCAGCTGTCTTCTCCAGAGGCAGTGACTCCAGTGGGGGCAGGAGAAGCCACAATGCCTTTTATGACCTAGTCTCAGAAGTCACATGTTGTCACTTCTGCTAAATTCTGAACTATATCCAAACCACATTCAATGGGAGAGGAATCAAGCTCCACCTTTTTGAAAGGGATGCCTGTTATCAAAGCGTTTGGACATATTTTAGATGATTATATTTGGTAAGACTTAGTGACAGTGTCATAGCCAATTCTATTGACATTAATAGAAAAAAATGTCATCTATTGGGTTCATGTGCTAGAGTACAAAAGTAACAGTTTCTGCAGATGTTCTGTACTAGGCTAATTCTGGAGGAGCTAGATTTCTTGGACTGGGTTCCAGACAGTTGAGAACTGTTCCAACAATGACTAGGGGAGACTCTAAAAGCGCCCATCAGACTGGGCCCTGTGTCGCATGCCTATATAGTCTCAGTGACTTGAGAGCTGAGGAAGTTCAAAGTCAGCCTTATAGCAACTTGTCTAGGTTATAAGGAACTTAGTGAAATTCTATCTCAAAAAAAGGACTGGGGATATGGATTGGTTCAGTGGTTAAGCACCCCTGGGTTAAAACCCTGGTAAACCTTTCCCCACCTCCCACAAAAAGTGCCCAGCAGAGAGCATTGGAGAATAGACTGGGACAGAATAGGAAAAGATACAGAAGTAGTGTTCATCTGATTGGACCATACAGGTGGAATGAATGGGAAATTGAAGGTAAAGATTGTAGAAATCTGGCCTAGGTCTACCTGTTAGTCATTTCATTTTTCATGCAGTTTTGCAGTTCCAAAGGGCATTCTTTTTCTCTTAGAAACTTAGAAGCCCATCTTCAGTCTTCCCCTGTATTCAGAGGGCTTCTTTGTAGGAAAGGAAACTGAGAATTTTGACCAAGGAGTGAGGAGGTGCCCTGTTTTCTTTTTAAGTTGTATATGAACTCAATTCCTTAATTTTATTTGTGTGATGCTGAGGATCAAACCTAGTGCCTCATGTGTGCTAGGCAATTGCTCTATCACTGAGCTACAACCCTGGCCCAGGTGTCCAGTTTTGATGAGGCAACAATATTTTAGCAGATGTGAGTTTCCCAATGAAGGAAATTTAGGTTTTTTGATGTCTGTGTTAATAGTGAAGAAGTGACTTCCTGTTGGGGAGGCACAGAAAGGAGATTTGCAAGTTCAAGGCAGCCTCACCAATTTAGTGAGACTCTGGATTATTCAATCTCCAATATTTAAAAAAAAAAAAAAAGAAGAGAAAAAAGAAAAAGAAAACTGAACTGAACGTGCCCAAGCAGTTTATTTTGTAATCAATCACACATTAAGAACCATTCTATCTACTCAGTATAAATAAAACAAGGTCCCTGCCATCAAATGAGAAGGTTTTGAAAAACTTAAAATGAAGGTTTCCTCTAAGCTGGGTATGATGTTGCATACCTGGAATCCCAGTCCTTTGGGAGACTGAGGCAAAAAATTGACAAGTTCTTGGCCAGCCTGACCAACTTATTGAGACCCTGAATCAAAACAGAAAATTAAAGGGCTGTGGGTATAACTCAGTGGTGGAGTATTAACTTAGCATGTTCAAAACAGGGCCCTGGGTTCAATCCCCACAATATAAATATACATAATTTTAAAATTATCAAACAAAAGCAAATTTATTCTGAGATTTGAGGGCTTGGGTGGTACCAGGGATTCAACTCAGGATCTCTCCACCACTGAGTCACATCCCCAGACCTATTTTGTATTTTTTTTTTAGAGACAGAGTCTCACTGAATTGTTTAGCATCTCGATTTTGCTGAGCTGGCTTTGAACTCATGAACCTTCTGCCTCAGCTTCCCCAGCCACTGGCATTATAGGTGTGAATAGCATTATATGCCCAGCTATTCTGAGATTCTGTTAATGGATAAATATAGATTTTAAAAAAATCTTGGTGCTAGGGGTCAGAAGCAGGCCCAGAGACATGCTAGGCAAGTGCAGGACCACTGAACTATATCCCCATATCCCTAGTAGTTCTTCACTGATCTTTGACAATGAAGTGAAATGAAACAAATGAAAGAGCATATTTATTTTTTTGGTGCTGGGGATCAAACCAAGGGCTTTACATGCACAAGTACTCAACTCATTTATATCCCCAGCCCATGAAAAAGCCTATTCCTGATAGTTCCTTCCCCTCAGCTCATATAATTCCACTCCAGAACACAGTGTATTGGGTTTTTGAAGCTGATACCAGGATTCTCATTTCACTTATACTTCAAGCCAAAAAAGATTACCTAATCTAAGAGTTGGAATGTGAATGTTTGGGGTAATAGAATATAGTGATTAAATACAGAGCAGCTCAGCAAAAGTTTGCCAAATTCTTCTTTCTTAGATGTAAGCATAAATAGACCCATGGTTAATACTGTTTCATTGCGAAGGCTGTTAGGTAAGGTAGATATTTGAGAAGTTAAGACTTAGATTTAGTACATAACAAAATTAATTTATTTTGTCTGAATGAAAATAGTAGCACAAAAGCCTGAATTATCAGCATTTTTCTCAAGCAGTAAGTTCCTCCATGAAGGGAGTAATTGTTTTGTTTTGTTTTCTGTATTTGGAGATAGGTTTAGTGATTTACAGATTGAAAAGGGAGGAGAGACTATATGGGGCAAAAGTTTGGGAAATACTCCATGAAAGACTATGGGAAAAGGAAATATAAGAAAGTACATATGTATCTTTTAAAGGTGATTTGTACCTTTTTTTTTCTTTTTCTTTTTTGTGGGGATTGAACCCAGGGCCTTGTGCATGTGAAGCAAACACTCTACCAGCTGAGCATTACTCCCAGCCCTCAGTGTCCATTTTGGTTTGATTAATCATCCACTTGGTTCGGGATGTGGTTTCTTTAGCAGAGTTACCATGGGAACTGTAGGTTAACTAGCTGAAACTTCCTGATCAGTTAAATTTGAAGAGTAATAAGTGGTTTATAGCAGGGATGGGTGGCCTATAGGCCAAACTTGGTTAAGGGCTGTTTTTTTATTTTGTTGTTTGTTTTTGTATTGGGAATTGCACCTAGCCTTGCTCTACCAATGAGCTAGGTCCCCAGGCCTGTTTTATATTGTGAGAGTCTTGCTTGAGGCTGGCCTTGAACTTGTGATTCTACTGCCTTATTCTCCTGAGTCTTGGGGATTATAGGGGTAATCTGGCAGAAGGCTTGTTTTTTGTTGTTGTTGCTCTGCAGCTTATTTATTTCACTAAATAGTATATTTTAGACACTATTCCACATCTGCACAGCCTCACTCTTTAATGACTACGGAGTCACTTCTGTGTTGCCTAGATGTCAAGATTTTGTGTGTGTGTTGGGTGGGGGTTGCTGGGGATTGAATCCAGGGCCTTGTGCATGTAAGGCAAGGATTCTACTACTGCTGAGCTATATCCCCAGCCCTAACTGCTTGCTTTTTACTTTTTTTCTCCCCCTAGATATGAACATAGCAAGCCATTGAAACAGGAAGAAGCGACTGCTACAGATCTAATTGCAAAACCTACCCTTGCTGCTTCCTCAAGTCTCTCATCCGTGGTTGGACCGCTTGTCGAAATGAATACAGGCGAAGCTGAGTCAAGAAATTCAAACTATCCAACAGTAGGAGCAGGTTCAGAGGACTGGGTGAATGCCATTGAGTTTGTTCCTGGGCAGCCCTACTGTGGACGTAGTAAGTATTCTAAAGAATAATATAAAGAGGTAGTTCATCAATTAAACTGAGTTTTCACAGTCTTCCTGCTTCCAGTCTTCATATTTAGCCTAATTTATCACTTTAAATTGGATAACCTAGGACTTACAGATGGAGTGAAACAAACTTTTTGAATCCCAATAACAAGCCTTATCTTGGAAATGTCATTATTAGAGAAAAATATCTTGAAAAAGTAAAGAAATTAAGCTGGACATGGTGGTGCACACCTGTAATTGGGATGCTAAAGCAGGAGAATCAAGTTTGAGGCCAGCCTTGGCAACTTAGTGAAACCCTGTCTCAATAAAAAGGGCCCAAAAAAGCTGGGTGTGGTGGTGCATGTCTTTAATCTCAGCTACTTGGGAGGCTGAGGGAGCAGAATTGAAAGTTTGAAGCCCACCTGGACAACGTAGTAAACCCTATCTCAAAATAAAAAGGGTGGGAATATAGCTCAGTGGTAGCATTTTACCTAGCATGCAGGAGGTCCTGATTTCATTAGTGAAGAAATTAGTTTAGTAGACTGTTTTGAGTTTAATTAAGTTTTTTTTTTTTCCCTTTTCAGTTAGGTTCTCAGTACCTTATAGTTCTTAATATGCCTTATCCTTTTGGACCTTTACTACCCTCTTACACATTTTCAGCTGCCCCTTCCTGCACTGAAGCACCCCTGCAGGGCTCAGTGACCAAGGAAGAATCAGAGAAAGAGCAAACTGCAGTGGAAACTAAGAAGCAGCTTTGCCCCTATGCTGCAGTGGGAGAGTGCCGCTATGGGGAGAACTGTGTGTATCTCCACGGAGACTCGTGTGACATGTGTGGGCTGCAAGTCCTCCACCCGATGGATGCAGCCCAGAGGTCACAGCACATCAAAGTAAGTCTTCAGGGAGACGCCTGTGTTTTCAGGTGTAAGAAGCTGTATTTGCCCTTTCACAATGTCAGTTCATTTTAGAAAAGTGTTTGATGAATTGAATGGTTTTCAGTAAGTAGAAGTGTTTCTTCTCTGAGCTTCTTGAATGCTTTATCAAGAAGTTATACTTCTAGAGGCTAGGGATCTAGTTCAGTGGTAGAAGCCCTTGGTTAGCATATGCAAATCCCTAGGTTCAATCCCTAGCATCAAACCAAAAAAGAAACAACAACAAAAAAGTCTTGCTTCCAGAACCTCAAACTATGAGCTTTTAAATGTTTTTCTTTCTTTTTTTTCTAATAATAGCTTTTCTGAGATTAACATTCCATATGATTTACTTTTAAAATTCACATTTCAAATTGGGTATGATGGTACCCATCTGTAATCCCAGTAACTTAAAAGAGGCTGAGGCAGGAGTATCACAAGTTTGAGGCTAGCCTCAGCAACTTCATAAGACCCTGTCATAAAACAAAAAAGGAAAAAAGGGGCTGCGGTGTGGCTCAGTGGTAGAGTGACTCAATACCAAAAAAGAAAAAGAAAAAAAAAAGTCCTTATAACTATATATTGAGGGTAGTAGGACCTACCTCTGAAGACTGTAAAAACAAAGGGTTTTAGGAATAGACAAGGGAATATATACTAACATTAAGTGGTTACGTGGGATTATGGGTGGCTCTTCTGAATTTTGTATTTTCTATAATCATGTTTCTTACAGATTAAAAAAGTACTTGATGTCCACATGAAAATTTGTAGATAGATTTTTATAGTAGTATTATTCATAACAGTCCCCAAGTGGAAACAACTGAAGTGTGTCTATCATCTGATGAATTGATAAGTAAAATGTGTTCCACCCAGTGTAATATTTATCAACATTAAAAAGAAACAAAGTACTAAGAATATCACATAACATTGAAAACATAATAAGTGAACAAAGCCAGTCATAAAAGACCACAGAACTGGGAAATCTACAGAATAGTGGTT